CCAGAAGACATAAGACCTGTTGAATTCGATCAACGAGATTCTACCTACTTCGACCTAGTTAGTGAACTCGCAATAATAGGAACAAAATATTACATAGGATCAACTATTTCGCAAGCTGCTTCTCTAATCAATGCAGCTCAACAAAGTAATAATGAAAATGCAAAACTCTCTTGGGCCCGTTTGGCAGCTCATAAGAAAGAAGTGCTTACAGATGAATTTTCTCGAGTTATGGATATAATTAAAGGCGTCACAGCACGTCCTCTGATATCAAGAATCCTATCGGAAGATCCAGAAGATCAAGTTCAAGGAATTGCAGAATATAATGAACAATTGCGAAAAATAGCATATATAATAGAATCAGAAACACCAACGGAAATACAAGTTGCATCACGCGAAGTTCGCACTCGGGTTACATCAATCGAAACTCACGATGTCACTGCACCTTCAGAAGAACATACAGCTTCCATAATTACAACAACAGAAGCTACAGCAGACACTAGACCAAAACCAGTTAGGTCTGCTACACCAAAACCAAGACATACACCGAAGAAATAGCAGAAATACTCATACTGTTTCTTCTTGTAGGGCCTCACGGAATCACAAGGTAACATTGAGAAACCTCTTGTGCCGGAAACAACACACTAGTTGCCAGTAAATTTGAGTCGATTAAAGCCCATTAGGTATCATTGACCAGTTCGATGCATGGGGTATATGGGACACCATACAGGTGCGTTAAATGTGTATTTAAGACCCGTTTCCATCAGCCGCATGGAGGAAGTCAATGCATGGCTTGGTCTCGCCATGATAGTTACAATCTTCAGGTTATAGGGTGATGCTGCGCACCTCAAACTGGGAGTTAGTGTGTTGGAAAAAACATTCTGGTCAGATGCTTTTTGGTTTGTTTTCTGGTAGTATATTCTCAACGCTTTCGTCTAGATATCAGATTTTTGGGGGGTCACTTTTCTCTCCGCACTCGCAATTATGCTTTATTTTACTGCTTGTTCAAAAGGAATATAAGACTCACATGTATGAGATATCTTTTTATTTTATTTCTATTATA